CGAATTTGCAAATGCGATCGGCGTGCGTGTTCGACTTCTAAACTTAGGGCGAGCGACGTTCCATCGCTCGTCCCCTTGGTAACAGCTCACAGTGTTCTAGTTCGTGTCAGGATCACAAGCACAACAGTAGTACCCTGACATGAAAACTGAAATTTGGAATGAGTTTCCGTCGCTGTCCCCATCCATCACCGCTCCTTCGGATGGTTCTCGATAAGGACCCTCTGTCATATTCACTAAAAACAGATCACGAATATGAGGTTTACCTCAAAGAGTGAGAAGTGAAATGCAGGTAGTCACGGTACACAAGCGTTTAGAGTGTGATAACGATGAGGGTTCATGAAGAAGCTCCTCAACCCTGTAGAGCTTTGCCCTGCGCACAGCCGTAGATCGTTCGTAGCTGAACGTGACCGGTACCATCCTGGTGGTATTTTTGGGGTCTTTCACGATAACAACATCCCGTTCCATACACGATGAAAAGTAGCACCTCCAAGTGCAACACCAACGGACGACCCGAACTGAACAACTTTGAGAGGGAAATTTCTTTTTTTGTCTTGACGAACTGACGTGATGGTGCAAACATTCGTTTCTCACGACGACAATTGTGCGCCATTAGGGCCTGAAAATGTGAGATAGTTATGCAGTTGCGGGAAAAAACTTGGAACAGGCCACAAAATCGCGTTCCAAACAGCTTTGTAGCTCTTATTCAACAGCAACACAGTGGAAAGGTAAGCAGATAGCGGGAGTTCAACATTGAAAAAAACTATTTTGGTTTACTTGCTCACCAGTGGACTTGATAGGGTCTTCACCATCCGTGGAACCGACTATAAATAAGCTTCAGGGGTATCCACAGATATTCAACTCCGAATTCTCTAATACTAAAATACATGGAACTGGTTACATGTGTTGGTGATATTCGTCCCATTACTCATGGTTCAACTCATCACAAAGATGCCTGATGGGGTTGAGGTGAAGGTACTCGCTCCTTTCGTCATCCTGATGCTTGCCTTGGGTGCCGGAACCTGAACTTCACGCACTTCTGTTTGCTCAGGGTCGTTCCTACTGATTTGACACAGTTCTTCCAAAAATACTTTATCCATATCCATGACATTTCGGTACACAGGTCAAGGAAAATCGAAAAATAATTTGATGGAAAATTTAGATTTTTTTTTGCTTGTTGTTGCTTGCCAGGTTTTTCTTTCCGCTAGAATGCACTGCATCTCCCACGCAATGGCGGAGCAGGGAGGGAAAGAGCGACTGCAGGCAGATACCGACTGATCAACCATATGGCAGGAAACTTCTGCATCATGTTAATGCTTAGGACGTTCACAACTTAGGTAGAGAGATACTGCATTTCTTGAACAACCTTTCCTTCAGTACTTTGACAAAGAAATCACACCCACTCATGTAAAATCTAATTAATCAAAAGGAGTTCTCCATTATCCTATGATCCGTCCAAGCCCATTAAGTACTTCACCGTATCTCTCACCTTTCCATCTGCGGGTTTATCCCGCTCTGCACGATTCTCACCCCAACAGTGGAACCCCACCGACTTGCGAAGCGTGATGCTCTTCAACGTCGACGATAATTTGTCGCGCATCTGCCGTCGGCCGCATGTCCTCACGCGCTGATGCCGCCGTTGATACCGTCCCTGGTTGCAGTGGGCGGGGCGAAGGCGGAGTCATAGCGAGTACCTCAGCATATTCAAACAGGCACGGGATTACTGCCAATAAGTGATGTCCTGCCTCGCTATCATCTTTACTGGTCCCAAGACTAAAAATGGACGGAGGCTCTTCGAGAACTTTGTCGAAGCAAACAGAGGCAGCTTTTGGAACAGGTGAGTACTTTCGTCTTCAACTCTCTCTTTTGCTTATAAATATATTCCTTTCAGAGAACTCGTTGAAGCTGTGGAATCGCTGATTTTCATGGGATTCATGCGGCCATCCACACTGTTCGTTTCCGGTCCCGTCATTCATCTCCAGGCTCTTCGAACCGCTTGGGCTCGTCGTGTGCTGAAACCAGCCGAAGGCTATTTGATTTCTTCACTTGGTGAGTATCATTCAAATTAACTGTTTGTTGAAGTTGAACTGTACCGAAAGTCTCTACAGTGCCATTCCTTAGTCTCTTGACTCGTTCCCATATGGGTGTAGTGCGCTAATCCACAATGAGTGATGGGCTATTGAACTCGTTGTAACCTCTCTTGTAACAATACCTTTGATCTGGTGACTGTATTCTTGTCCCTGTCTCGTAGAACTTCACCGCCAAATCGTTATCCTTGCTGGAAGCGATTTCTACTCTCAAGCGGTACCGCTTTGATGTTTGTCGTTTAGCAGCACCATGTTGTGCTAATTGTACACTATAACCACCACCGTAACACCTTGAGGTCGCCAGATTTATGGTCTAATTGTGATCAAATTGCCGCTTTTCTCACTAAAATGGTCCCTTGGGTCTCACTGGGACCTCGTTGAACTTTATCTCTCGATATATCAGTGTTGGACCACAGTCTGTTACCAAAACCATTCCGGGGAACCTTCAAGTCACAGCTAGTAAGTATTTTGAAGAATGTTATTCCACGAGGGCTTCATTTTAGGCCAGATCGTCCGAAGGCAAGATCTAGGGTTTCTCGGCACAAACTGGTTTACCTTTTCATTTTCCCCACCTAGGCTCGGTCAAAAACCTTAGATTTTGACTCACAATTGTTTGTTCGCGCTTTCGAATGAATTATTTTATCAAGTGCCCACTTTACTGGGTTACCACCCCCGAGCCAAAAATGACTGTATTCAGGAACATTATGCCAAAGATATCCCCAACTTTCAACGACTTGCCGAAATATCTTTGGCTGCTCCTGGAGTTCCTCTGGAATGTTCTGATAGTATGCGCAGTTGCTATCAAATCCGGAGTGAATTGGGTAAGAGAAAATTAGGGGGGGGGTTCAGAGTACGGTGGGTATCTGGTTATGGTTTTGAGCTATGCCCTTATTTGTATTTTTGCCCGTAATGAATTTGAAAGCATTGCACGGTAGAAAATGAGAGCACTTGGCCTTTGAGTTAAGATACAGGAGGGCCCTACTGTGATCTTGCTGTCAAGAACAGCGGAAAGCCCTGTCCAATACATCCTGAGCAGATCACTTAATATTTGAGCATTGTACGAGTTCGCCTTGTTCTACTTGGACGAAGTCGACTGCGTCCGAAAAAGCTGTTGTGTTGAGGCCGCTGAGTCCTCACATGTACACCTGTGATTACGGTAGGAAGTGGACCGTGACTGGACCAGGTTCATAGGTCTTTTGGTTTACTTGAGATCCAGACTTAAAGGAGACACAAGATGTGCACAACCACGACTAGCCATGAGCCTAGAAGAAAATTTGGCGAAGAATTTAGTGCGGTTCACTGGCTTTACCTAGGTGCTTCCCAAAGTAGTTTCAAGCCAAGTTTGACAGAAACATATGTAGATTTTTGGCGTAACGGGGCACTGATATATGACAGCGATTGCGTCAGTACGGCTAATTGCTTTCTTTTATGAAATCTGCGGCAATGGGGGCACCTGTTGGTGGAGCCGTGCAATGCGATACGCTTGTACAGGTGCCGAGCAGATGTCTTTGTTGGTACTTGTCGTCTCGACACTAAAGAGATAAGAGCACAACATTACGACATACCGCAGCTCTTGAATCTCATATGGATTTCAGGTGAAATGGGTGCTATCCAAACGGTGGAACAGATGCATTTCGTGCCGCTGGCTGATGTGCTCTGCGATGCGATTGTGAGTCTGAACCGAGAAGGCCGAGCCTACCACGATCACGGCGGTTCGTCAGCACATCATTCGCAACTGCGCCTATGTGGCACCACCATCGGTGGACATGCTCAAGCAGACTGTCACCAATCTGATCGCTACCGGTCTGGTCTACAAAATGGGCGATCACCTGTTCGTCTCCGTTCCAGCACAAGAACCAAAAGCTAAGGTCAGTGGTCACAAACTAACCTCTGTACCTAACAAAACTAACTTGAAAAACAAAACAGGCGCAGTTCCATGGGGGGGGGGGGTGGAGGATTTTGCACTTTCACTGCTTCCCATTATCGTGTCGAGCCATCAAGTAGAGACATGTAAAATCTTATCAAACCATGGAGTGATACTAATCAAACTTTGTGGAAACTACATGTCAACTCTTGTAGAGAATACCTGTCAACTCTTGTAAAGCCCCGAATACAACGACGGGAAGTAGCGAAAGTGAAAGCGGCCCCCCAAGGCAAACTGCGCCCAAGAAAGAAGAAAACTAGAAGCCCAAAGATGCTGTTATCGGAAAAAGAGCATGTTTTTATGGTCCCGCTGAATAACAAGTTCATTGCGAGAAGTGTCAGGAAAGCAGTAGAAACACCCCATCTCGTCAACGGTATTGGAAAACTCTCGGGAGTTACCTCAGAACATCATTTTAGAATCAAAGGTAGTACTGGTGCTCCAGATAATAGTCACCGCGCTCGCGAGCCTTTCCTCCCACAAGCGGCGGGATCTTTCTCCCTGCAGACAGATTGACCTGGGAAAACGATTCCAAAAAGTAGTCACAATAGGATCGCCGCAAATAAATGTGGGAAGCGCACTTTCCTGGAAGCGATAGCAGCGGTTTAAATGGAGAGAGCAATGGGCCGAAGTATGGGAGAGACTCTCGGGTGCGCAATCGTTTTCTGGAAATGTAGGACCGAGACCAAGAGTTCCACCGAGGTAAAGAACATTGGTAATCTTCGGTAGTCTTGCTTCGCCTCCCTCCAGTGTGGCCCCAGTTAAGTTGTGCATTCGAAAGAAGCCAATGTTTTGCAATGCGACTTCAGAGACCACGGAATAGGAATGCCGAAGCTAAACGATGCGGTATTTTGTGCGATATCTCGCCGGATTACGGTAGTCGGAATTCTGCACAAGGATTTTTTTGAAGACTTGAGTTCCGTTTTCCCGCCATTTCTTCGGCTTTTCTCCTACTATGCACCATTCAGTGGTAGGCGCGAAGAAACTACACTTATGCAGGATGATGGGAATTTCTCTCCCAAGATAGGAAGGGATGGGTGAAGTGTTTTGTCCATCCGGGAGCTCCCACCCCAAGTCTGAGCGAAATGCGTATTCAAAAGTTCATAAAGAATACTATTTTTGTAGAGACACCAAGTACTCCGAAAAAACAGCTCTCTGCTGTATCAGCGCCCCAGATTGTAACGAAGTACTTGTTTAGGTGGCAGTGGAGTGCCAGACGGGAACATCGATCATCGCTCATGAAGAACCAGAGAAAAAGGATCGTTTCGGCTTCATCACCCGTATCTTCTCCAAGAAACCACACATAACAACAACCGCCAAGTCCAATCATCCCCAAACGGTCGCCTTTTCCACGAAATTCGTTCCCGATTGGGACCAACAGAAACAGCTGGCACCAACTGCGTGCAGGTGAGTGATTTGCGCCAATCTAGCCGCCAGACTCGAATAGCGGCACCCCAAGGCATCGA